TAGGACTTGCTAAAAGAAGGACATTTAGCTTGTGTTATAACTTGCATATGACTTCCAGTGATATAACAATCACACAAAATTCATTTTCGAAGGAGGTATTAAGGCAATTACAACAGAAGATGAACCAAAAATACTTAAGTTAAAAGATATGTTTTGTGTTCCGAAATTAAGTTGTGATTTGCTATTCCAAATGTTAAAAAAATGTAAATTAGGTTGTACTTAACAATAAGGGAATATGCATTTACGATTAATATGGAATACTAGTTTGTAAATGTTAATAGAAAGAAATATGTTCATTATCTAATTGGTATCTAAAAAATGATAGATGAAATGATTTTGTCTAAATATATATGAAGTTCTTATGAATTATAAATCGACAATTAAGTCCCATAAATCCAAATTATCTAAAAATAAATTTGAATAAGAAAAAAATTGTTGGCTTTTAAATTTAAAACATAAGATATTTTCTCATGCATGCGTGAGATGAAAATTGACACTATCTCTGAAAACTACCAAAGACCCATATCTGAAAACTACCAAAGAGAACTAACTGTTTTTTTTTTTAAGATGCCATAAAAAAGAAATCAATAGAAATCTGCAGAGTATAATAATAAATGAGAAGAGAAATTGAAGCTTAATGCCAAAAAGGAAAAAGACTGATGATGATTCGTAGTTTGTAAACGATGCGAAGAAAGAGATTCTAGATCCTACAGATGAACAGGCAATGTTCTATTCAACAAAAAGCAATGGAATTTCCGAGAAGATAAATAAAGCTCTACTTGACACAACAAAAAAAGTTTGAGTGATAGTGATAGTACATTACCACCTGAATTTCGAGCAGAAGGGATTGCAACAGAAGAACGCAGACACAACAAAACATAAAAAATAAAAAAAAATCCCAAATTTCCTAACTTTGGAACTTTAAGAGTCGTTCCTATCAGATATATTAGACATTTAGCTGTCTTGGAATTTATTAAAGTGATAACAACGAAAGACACAAATTAGGTGACATAGCAAAATGAGGAATTTTTATGTTATTCCAGAATGAGAATAGATTATACAAAATTTGATATAGGCGAAGAGAACATTTTATAAAAGATCTGATGTCATATTTGAGGAAACTAAGAAATACAACTGAAGTACAAAAATTCATATAAATTAAAAAGATAGATTGTTTTAAAAAGATACAGATAATTAATCAACAAAAAATAATCTAGCACATGATGCGCATCAGAATATAGAAGTACAAAAATGGAGATTGAAATGAAGAAAATTATTCAATTTTAGAAGATAGATATATATATATCAGACTTTAGACAGAAGAATATTAATGAAGATGCAGATATTTCAGGAAGACATGCTACAAACAGAAGGACACCTACAAGATATAATGATTAAATTTTGTATTCAGCAATGAATTATTCAACAGAAACATATGATAATGCAGTTATAAATAACGATAAAGAAAAGTGGGAACAGGCATTGAATGATGAAATGAGTTCTTTTAATTTTTATGATTTTTCGATAGCAACATCATAAAAATTATTTCTATTAAAGATAAAGTAATCATAAGTCATTGGGTATATACGTATGGAATTCTGATGGCGAAAAACAGTATACAATAAGACTGGTGGCAGTTAGATGCAGAGACGTTAATTTTGAAAAAACCTTAACCCATTTATGAAGCTGGATACTTTTAGCATATTTCTAAATATAACTTCAATTTGATGTGACAGCACTATACCTATAGGCAGGATTTATGAGTTGTCGGAGTGCCTTGGAACCGAAGTGGTTTTAAACTCCTGTTTTGTAAAAGTAGTGTCTGTTGATGATAAAAGAATACTTTAATCAAATATGAGATAAACAAAAGAACAACATATGTAAGTGAAAATGATCCAGTCCCCAAAGTTAAAAATTTTAAATATAAATAAATTAGAAATGAAAAGGAAAAAAAATTAACAATGAAATTAAAATCAGACATTTTAAAAAAAAATTATAATAATAAAATAAAAGGAAGAAGATCTAGCAATCCATAGATCAGCAAAGGGAATGGCTAACCGCTGCTAAAAATGATGACTAAACGAACAGGTCAGGCACGAACCTGCAACCTCGCGGCTGCAAGAACGACGCTCATGACAACTCAGTCAGTTCTTCTAGCAGCTTTGCAAATTGTAGAGAATCGCCCGAGGGCGTTTAGCGTTCTCCAGGAGAGTGAAATCGTATTTCGGAAGATTGCGGATTTCATCGTTCGGAATACGATCAAAATTGTCGCAAAAATTTTCTGCAAGCTTGAGCATAAAGTATTTGAATACGGGGGTGGGATGGGGGATAGACAGCAACGAATGCCATCATTTCTTAAGGATAATTAGTGATCATTATTAAAGTCTTATTTTCCAAACGTTTTGATAATGTTGATATGATACTTTTCAGCAGAACCACAAACTGGGACAGCATATGTGATAATGGGTTTGAAATAATGCATGTAAATGACTAGTTTATTATCAATGGAAAGGAAAGATTGTCTATTGATTAGAGGATAAAGCATGCGGAAATATATATTATATTTATATTTGATGTGATTAATATGGTTAGAATAAATTAATTTGCTATCGGGAAATACACTCAGATATTTAGCATTATTAGTCCAATTAATTGGCTGGTTAAACGGAGAAATAGCAGGAGGAAGAATTTTTCACCTCGTGAAAAGTACATCTTCGGTTTTATGCACGTTAATTTTAATATTCCATCTTGTGAGCCAGACTTCAAGATGCGACAAATAATTATTTAAAATGCTATATAAATCATGAATATTTTAGTGGCCAACAGCCTTGTCCTCTTGTATATTGTTATCCTCTTAAAGACTGAGATTAATATTTTTAATTACAAAATGTCCATAATATATAGGTTAAAGAGAAATGGACTAATCAGAAAACCCTGGGGGACACATGTTTTGATACGTCTCTGAGAGGAAAATGAGTTATTAATTTTTACTGAGATGGTTCTATTATCAAGATAAGATTTAATAAATAGAGTTGTCTACAGATATTTATGTTATAATTTACAATATTTACATTATTTTTACATTTAATTTTTATTATTTTTGTGTTTACTATTGGGCCTGAATGGCTGGAGCGCTCGCTCGGTACCACAGGTTTGGGTTCGAATCCCGGCGGTGCCATGGATGTTTGTAGTGGTTCGGAATCCACTTTAAACTGTAGGTCCCGGTCTAATAGGATCGTAGAGCGTTGCGGGGGCATTGTTACTCCGCGTCCGTGGCTTATCTTTAAGTTACACGCGCCCCACGGGTAATGCAAAGTGAGTACGTCTGTACAGCGTTTGCCTTAAGACATCCAAGACTAAGCTGTCTTAGTGTTTGCCAGCTACGTTAGAAAGAAAAATTTTTATTAGATTTTATATTTAGTATATTTTATATTTATTATATTTTTATTATTTACATTAATTTTTACATTATTTTCATATATTTACAATATTTATTTTACGAATGCATACAATTTATGAATTAGACCATATATCTCTACTCCTTCGAAGGCCTTGGCGATATCTAAAAATATGACTCCTGTAAGAAATTTTGTGGATAGAGCTTCCGAAATCAGTTTCATAATCCTTAAAAGTTGATGGATGGTACTAACGGGTAAGCTTAGGGATGAGGTCAAATTTCTGAAGAATCATTATGAAGTGTTTAGAGAGATTAGAGAGAAGAGAGATTGGAAGTTGGGTAGAGAGAAGTGATATTAGACGGCACTATGTCTATGCAGAGTGTTGAATGAATAAATATATATGGAGCCACCAAAGGCCTAGAGTATTTGATTAAGAAAACATTTATTGATTACCACACTTACATCTTGATATAACAAATTTAGAAAGATATTGGGAGTAGTATGTTTTGAAAATTGAAATCACCCACCATTTTATTATTGAAACATATATAAAAAATGACAGTAACATATTGATATAAAATATAAGTACGTGATTTTTAATAATTTAATGTTCAAAGGAGCTGTCCATTGAAACAATAAAATCTACACAAAAAGAGAGAGAGAGGGAGAGATTCAAACAAAGAGATCATATTATCACAAAGGCAAAGAGATCATATTATCACAAAGAAAAAAATTGAGCAAAATACATGAAAGATTTAGAATCGAAAACTATAATCTAGTAAAGACATAAAGGATGGCAATAGATCCTTTTTAGAGAAAAAAATAACAAGACACAATTGATTCAGCACACATTGCGACGAAAATGCGTCCATATATTCCATATAATGTACTATGATGTAAGTAAATTGTATCAGTACAATGAATCCTCAAGAAAAAAATTGGGTTATCTTAAAAAGAGTTTTAAGACATTTAAAAGGAATTATAGAGTATTGTTTAAGAATAAATGTACAGAGGATAAATTGACTGCATATTCTCGATGAGAACTCTTACAGTCGATATTTATTAAAGATGGGAGAATTAATTGTCAGCTGGAAAGACAATACATAGAGCAATATTTGGTAACGTTATTGACAATGGTGGCAGAATTAATCATAACTCGGGATTGTGTATATACAGAAAGATGGAAAAATTTAATAGAGGAATCAGGTAAGACAACCTAGACATTTGTTTTTGTAACTGATAATAAAAGGAATAATAGGTATTTAATAACGCGAAAATGATAAGAAACAGGCATTTCCATTCATCAAAGAAGATCTATAATATAAAGGTATTTTATAGATCTCCTATAGGTTCGATTTAGATAATATAAAAATCCGACGAAGTAGAAGGCAGATTCAATGTTTACATAAATACTCGCTCGTGACTATAAAACTAATATGGCTAATATTGCACTGGTATCAAATGAAGAAATATAGGGATATTGGGATTGTCAATGATAAAAAAAAAATTGGGCGGGGTTGTTCGATATTTTTATTAAACATTCAAAATTCAAAATGTATTCCTTCTTTGGTAATACGTAGTTGTTATATTTAAGATTTTCGAACGGCCATACCATGCTGAATATACCGGTTCTCGTTAGACCACCGAAGTCAAGCATCATTGAACGCGATCAGTACTTGGGTGCCACCTGGCGCTTGGCGGGACCTGAATGGCCGAGTGTGTAGCGCTCTGGTGCTTGGTGCCACAGGTTTCGGTTCGATTCTCGGCGGTGCCATGGATGTTTGTAGTGTTCGGAATCCACTTTAAGCCGTAGGTCCCGGTCTCCTATGACTGCAAATAGCGTCAAGGAGACAAAGTCAGACTTCTACCTACGGGTGCTCCATCACAATAGAAGCTGCTTCCTTCCCCTTCAATCATGACTACGTATGGGCTCGTGGGCTTGGCTAGCCAAGTGGGATAAGAAACAACAACAACAAGATTTTCGTCCTTCAAAGACACATTTTTTGTATTTTGTTAAGAATGTGCATCAAATTCCGTATAAATAATATAAATTATTAAATACATAAAATAAACAATTATAAATAAAATTAAGCAATTATCTTGAATTAAAAATAATTTTATATTAGTAAGGAAGTATTATAAAATACTATAAATATATAAACAGTCGTAGCATGAGGAAATATGCATGAGCGAAATTTATCAAATATTTCCCGTAATTAATAATTAAATGTCTAAAGAAAAATTTATATTATTCGCAATGCTTTTAAATGGTGCACAAAACCAAAAAGAACTTTCTTGTGAACCCAATACATTTAAATTTTCTTTTATTATGCTATTTCAAGTTACATATTTTAAAATAACCAATTCATTTTTCCAATACAAAATGTATTTCGCTTTTTTATGACAATACCTTGCCGAGAACTGAAGCTTCCATTGATTTCCTATACTTCTATTGTTACTCCATTGTTCAATTTGTAGCGACATTGAAATAAATATAATAAAAATTTATTTAAAAAAACTTCTTAAGGAGTTAGAATTCCTTTTAACTGTATGGGTTTTTTTTTTTTTTCTGAAAAGCTACATTTGATTCGTTTATTTGCTTTTGAATTTTTTTTTTTTCTTTTCGGTCCTTTTAATGACATTCTTTATTTAAAAGCCTTAAGATAAAACAAATTCATATTTCTGTACAATACAGTAATAGGAGAAAACCAATACTGAAATATTGAAAAGACGTCAGTTTTTAGAAGACATGACATACCCTTTGCCGATATTGTAACCAATACTGAATATCCACTTTGATGCTTTTGCAACATCGAAAAAACTGTCATGCAAATAGCAGTTATTTGCTGTCTTTAAAATAGTATTTAAAAAATAACTTCAACTGTCAATGCAAAATATTTTAAAGGAGTTCAATTATATTGATGCATTTCATAGAAAAACTTTAATGCATACTTTTGTGAAAAATTAATTCCTCAACTCAGATGAAACAGTATAAAATCTTTAATACTTAATTTTAAGAAAAATCAGATAAAAGGTTTGGTGTATTATATAATTTGTTGTAATAGTGATCGTTTAATTAATCAATTTTAATCTAATGTAAATTTAATTTTTAAAAATATAATTTTATTTCAAAATTCTAATTAACATTTCATTTTATTTTGTTTATGTAAATTGCAATTTGTCCAACAATTACATAATTTCAATGAATTTAATAAAACAAAATGAAAATTTAATTTGTTTTTTAATAATAATTTGTTAATTTCTTCTGAATATTATTTTATTTTAAAAATTTAGTAAAGCATAAAATGTAAAATTTCATTTTAAAATATTTATTTCTTAACATTCATTGCATTTCTGTTCTAAATTAAATGTTATTATAAAATGATTTTTTAATTATGCAATATTTTCTTTTGCTTTCATTTTATATTAAAAAGAATCTAGTAACTTATTAATATAAACTAGAATTTTATAGTATTTTGTAATATAAAATTTCATTATTTTAAGTATAAAAAAATTAGTACTTTTTACAACACATTTAAAATACTATGAATATTATAATCAAAATTTGAATGAAACTGTTTATCATTATTATTGGCAATTTTCTCTAATGAAAATGGAATTTGACTTCAATTTTGGGAAATTTTAAATGTTAATTATTTAGAAAATTAATTAAATATTAATATATTTTATTTATTTATAAAATTTTAAATGAAATATACATATAATTAAAACATTCAAAAAATATAAAAATATAATATAAATATATTACATGCATGTATGCATATATGTTGAACGCTACCATTACTACTTGTATTTGCACATTTTTGCATACATTTTGCATTTGCATTTTTATTTCAAAAGATTTTTCTCAAAAGAAGTAATTTATTGAAAAATGAAACATACATATTATCATAAAATTCTCATATCGTTGTTTTTATTTTACACATGTTCAAACAATTTAAAAATAATTTCTAGTAACAAACTTTCAAAATATATATAAAACTTGTTATTCAATTACAAGCAAACTATGGCAAATTTTCATGTATTTAAAATTATTAAAATTATTTTGTGTTTTAAAGTATTTGATATATTTTTATTTTTTTTGATTATTAATATATTTAATTGATATTTAATATATTATTTGATATATTTTATGTTATATTATCTGGTTTTCTAGATAACATAGAAAAATGGAACAGAAATAGAACATGAACAATAAAAATTTAGAAAATAATATTTTTGAATTCTTTAAAAAATTGTACATCAAAATCACATTAAACATAAATGCATCTTTTATTAAAAGACCATGATGTAATTTCTGATGATGTAGAATTTAAATTAAAAATACTTTACACCCTAGGTTATTTAATAGAATATTAGTTTTTAAACCTTTTTTTTTTTTTGAGATAAAAATTCCTGTATATGCCCTTGAGAAATTTAATTAAAGAATCTACAAATTTTCTTTTCTCTTAGAAAGTTTTCTTAATTGATAATTAAAATAAAAGAATACATTAACGTTAACAGATATTTAAGATAACTGACTTTGTATAATTGGGTTTATTTCAGCAATCGTTATATATTGTCATAATATTTTCGGTTATTAGAAATATTTCAGAAATATTTCTAGACACTATTTATTTAAAGCTATCTAGTTAAATTAAAAAAACCAATTTTTTAATCTTATATAAATGCTGTTTTATTCCTATTATTTGCTTTTTAAAAAAAAATTGCTTTATTGATAGTCCCATCATCTTTAACTGGTTACTTTCAATTTAAATTTTCTAAAAATATAATCAATAAAATTTTTATAAGTACCACAAGCTTTATTACTATTATTATTAATAATAATAATAATTAAAAAACAACCCAACCTGTCTGATAAAAAATCATAACTGAAAATAATGGATTTCATTTTTATTAAAAATTAAATTTGTTTTTACATAATACATTTTTTGAATTTTTTAAATATTATTTTATGTAATAAAATAATGAAAAGGCTTTTAGTAGAATGCCTTTTTTATTTAAGTTTGACATTTTGTTTGTTTTTTATTTATTATATATTTATATACATATTTGATTTTTATTATTATTTATTAGTTATTTAACGTTTAGTTTGAAATTTATTTATTTTTATTTTACATTTTCTCAATATTGAATAATTCTCTTTTATTTTTTTAAAAACTATTATGGTTGCTCCAATCGAGCATTGAATCAGGTAACATTGCATCAGTAAAACTATCTAAATTATATCTATATTAAATATTTATTTATGAAAGTAAATAAAATGATCAATTTCGATTTAGGAAGATAAATAATATACCTTAATTGAGGGTTTCTGTAAGACATTTTCTGTTTTTCATACAATTAAATGTCGTCTTACCTGAAAAGAAAAAATTTACTAATTAGTTTTTATTTGATCAAACAATCTTTTAATTCGCTGGCATGAAAAGAAAGCTTTCTCATCGTTATATTTATTGTTTCAATTTTAAACAAATGAATAAAGTTTTTACTTTCAAAGAAAGTGAATAATAAAATTTTATAAAGAAAGTAAACACTAATAAAATTTTATAAAGAAAGTAAACATTAATAAAATTTTATAAAGAAAGAAAGATAAAGATGTTTCTAAATAAAATTGATCAATGTAATGCAAAGCTATTTAAAATGAGAATGAATTTATTGAAAATTTATTTATTGAAAATCTTGCAAAGAGGTTTTTATTTTAAAATTAAACTAACACTGATATTAGAAACATTATTATCAATGAAAAATCACCAACATTTACCTTATATTAGATTTTATTGAAATTCAAAATATTGAAAATATTTACCCTATATTTGATGTTTAATCTGAGTTTCGAATATTTATAAAACACTGACTGAATTTTAGAAATTTAGCTTCTTTTTAAATATTTAAATTCTAAATGACGGATCCCAAAACTATAACACAAAAAACTAACCGTGAAATACTTTTTAATAATTTTTTATTAGATTTATAATAATATTTATAGATGTTTGCAATTCACAATGTTTTCTATGCTCTAAACTTATTTAAATATATAAATGAAACACGGAGTTTTATTGCAAAATTTTTGATATATTTCGGAGTTCATTCAACCATTTTATTTTATAAAAGACAAATGTTAAATACAATGCTTATTTATTTTTTTATTTCAATTTTTAATAATTTATTTACTGATGTAACTACAAATAAGAAAAAAAAAATTATATATTTTTTAATTATGTAGAAGACGAATAAATAAATAAAATATTAATAATAATAAATTTAAATAAATGAAATTTTAAAAATATATACAAATAATTTATTTTAATTCATACAATGCTACAGATTCTTTTCAAGCGTACGTTTTATTTTGAGAGTATTAATTAATGCTATTCAAGTAATGATAAAATATTTCATGTTATTCGCGGATTTTCAAAGTTTATTGTATTCAAAATAAATTTTCTATAATTCATAACTAGCAATTCTTCGTAAATGAAATCATATAAAATTCCATTTTAGAATTAAAATTTCAATTTTAAGCTTTTGTTTTAAATTAGAACAATACTACATTAAAATAAATAACATTCTTTAATTTACAATTTTTATGATTTATCTGATGACATGTTGTCGACTGGCCCATTGATAATAAGCACTTGATTCAAAGTCTTTGATGGCATGATGGC